ACACACGCACACAAACGGAATGGTGCCAGCAGCAGGCAGTAGTCAGGACAGCAAAGGGTTACATGTAGCAGGGCACAACAAGGAGGGCGCACTCTTTTTCTTGCTTAAGTTTTGCCTCAAAAATATGCAAAGTACTTCTCTTTTTTTTCCTTTTTTCTTTTTTTTTTTTTTTTTGCTAGTCAGGAATGTACAGACAACCTGGAATAATTTCTGACGCTACGCTGACACAGATGTGGGACCTCTGATTTAAAATGTGACTCTCCGGCACCCCGAAACAGAGGGAGGCATTTGGGCTGCTGCCGGACAGGCCGATGCGGGGAACCGTCTGCACTGTGGCGCCCAGTGAGGGTCAGCCAGCACAAGAACATAGTCTGGACACGGGACACAAAGCGAGGGCAGCAGGAGGTTATAATCAGAGATGGCATAATGGTGTCTGAACGTGGAAAAGAACAACACAATGAACAGATACAACGGGAGAGAAGAAAAGCCTTTGATTCATCATTATCCTTTCAGCCCATTAATTGTAAGTAGTTCTAATGGTGATCGCCGTTTACATTTCAACTTCTCTGACTTGGTGATAAACGTAAAAGCCACTGCTGAGCTGAACACTTCAACTGGACTGCTGCAGTGAAAGAACACAACCCATGATTGTTTAACTCCAAGTCCATGAGCGGTGAGTGTAGCAGTTGGATGTGAGGCTCTGTGCTTCTGTAGCTTATCCTGTGCTGCTGCATCCTGATAAAAACACACCGGAGCTAAAGTGAAAGGCAGGCAGCTCAACAATGACCGGACAGAAATCATACACATTTCAATAGGAAAGACTCAGAAGCTCGTGTAGTTTTTGATGCAAAAGGGCTTTCTTTCTTTCTTTTTTTCCCTCTTAAGTTTTGTTTGCAAAACTACATTCTGAAAGCTTTCCAGCTTCTCTCAGACCGACTGTGGGGGAAGCCGCCTGCCACATAACAGGAAACTAATTTTGAGTGAATATCCATTCAAACATAGGGCTTAAGCATATGTCGTTACTAACCCTATAAATAAATTCTGAATGTTTGTCTATAGAAGAAAAAAAAAAGCACCACAACCTATGACTAAAAGCAAAAACAATGTCAAAAATTTGACATTCCTTACACCCACTCGTATTAGCATGAATTCATGTTCATATCCAGAGAGGGTTCAAATAAACTAGAAACCTTCTAGAAGAAGGGATTCCATTTGGGCTCCACTGGTTCTTTGGAAGGTTTATTTTACAATATTCATTAAGAATAGTCCTCCGTGTTTTACATGAGTCAGTGAAACCTTAATCTTTATTCTTCCCCTTCATCTTAGCAATAACAAAGTATTTAAAAGCAGGCCACAACATGGAACCCAGCAGATGTAAAACCACCTCAACAGTAACATTAGCCTGTGAATTAAGACCTCAACAAGAGGCCACTTCCAAAGTGTCAGGGAGCACAATATTCCAAACACACTATATGACTTAGAGAAGAAAAGACAAAATCCTAACATTCAGCCATACAAAAGGTTCCCACACACGTCACCTTCTCTGCTGTTCACGCTGTAGGCTGGAGAGAAGAGGCAGTCTGTGTGCAGATAAAGATCCTTTTTTTTTTTTTTGTTTAAACAGTCCTTTTTTTCCATTTTATTAATCTTTGCAAAGCTGAAGCAGTCCTTACTTAATGGGCGGTCCTCAGAGAGCAACAATCCCTGCGGTGAGGTCCTCGGTAGAGTTCAGGGGGGGCGCCGTGCACGCCCGGCTCCGACTGGCTCTCGCTGGAGGGGGCGGGACGTAAGGCCGGTATCTTATTGACTATTACTTCTTTTTGCCTGATCCAGAGGCAGGGGAGCACGATGGATTCGGTGGAAAACTTCCTCTGGCTGCAAAAGCGTGCTCGGGCAATAAACAGAGTGAGAGAGAGGTGGGGAAGGTGGGGGGGCTTTGTGGAGGAGTGAAACGGTACAGGCCCGTGGCAGCTCCAACTCTCACCAAAGAGTACCCAGAATACATCTGACATATTTCTTGTGTCCCTGAAGCTGCTACAGCACAACTCCAACTGGGAAAGCTTTCAAATGAGGGAGAAGGTATCCTAAGATGTGGGAAAACACCCCTATCCGACGAGAAGAAAAGATGCTCGTTCTCCCCGGCGGCCGTTCGGGCCGGAAGCAGAGTCCATAGAAAAGATTAGAATGATAATGAGAATGGCTGTTATTGATATTAAGGGACTAATAATTCGGATGTCAGTTGGGAAGAAGATTGCATTATTTCCATGTGTTTGCGGCCTGGGAGATAGAACGGGAGGGAATCATGTCCAGCAGATACTCCCGCTGACGCTCCACAGAGGAGGCGGTCTTATGAGCAGCCAGGCTGGGGTTCACGTAGGCCATAGTCACACCTGTCCAGAGAGAAAAACCGTCAGATATAGAGACGATAGCTTGTTTCTTATGAGCAGGAAAAGGCAAAGCCTTAAGAGTACAGCCGAGGGGAGGAGTGGTGGAGCCTTGCGGAGGCGGACGTCTGGGCTGGACCTACCTGCGTTTCCGCCGCCCTGCTTCCTCCAGGCCACCACGTTGCCCTGGTTACTGCTGCTGCCGGCGCTGACCTTCGGCCCGTGCTGCAGGGAGCGTGCGGCGGCGTGCTTATCCGCCCTGCCCATGGCGGACGCCGCCACTGCGTTCTGCAGCTGGGAGGAGCTGAAGGAGTGGGCCATGCCCCGGGACTGGATGCCGTGCAGCTGGCTCTGCGCACAGACACGAGACGGGTGAGAATCCCAAATACCTGCGGCGGCAGGGGGGGGACGGCGTCTGGAGGCGAGGCTGACCTGCTTGATGTGGTGGGCAGACACGGGCCGGTGCTGCATGGCGGCGCGGACCTGCTTGTACTGCTGGGACACCAGCATCTCGCTCTTGGACAGCGAGGGGGACGACGACAGGGTTTTGGAGCCGGGGGAGGCCGAGGAGGAGGAGGCGGCCTGCTGCAGGATGCGCTGCTCTATCTCCTGCTCCTGTTGGAGCGCCTTGACGAAGGCCGCCTTCAGGCGGTTGGTGTGCTCGGCCTTCAGGGCCTTCTTTTGATTGGACGACATGCACTGGTCACAGAGGACTATCCCCGCCTTCTCCTTTCTCCAGCGAGACGTGAAGTCCGTCTTGCACTGGGCGCAGGTGTATGGCTCTTTGGCGAGGGAGCTGGCCATTGCAGCAGCTGGACCCAGACTTCCTGCGTGGCGGGTCACAGACATGTGCGAACGTTTATCCAGACTTACAGAATCAGTTAGACATTATACCACAATACTGGAAGGATCAAACGTTTCCCCACCTCTGCCGTGCATCTCCAAAAGCTTCTGGACCACCTCCTCCAAACCCAACAGGTAGATGAACTCATTATTGGCTGCAGAGGGCAGGAAGTTAAACTCGGGCGCAGGAGGCTTGGGTGGAGGAATCTCCAGCAGCGTCTTCTCCAGCTGTTTGCGCAGCGCTAGTTTAGCAGCTGCCTGTCGGCAGGCAGGAGAATCGTTGATATTGGAGTTGGGGGATGCTGAGGAGCCCTTTAGGCCAGTTGGAGAGGCCTGAACACAAAGAAGCAACACATTAGGACTTGGTTTTCAAAGAAATTCTGTGCTGTGAGCACAGGAAGTGAGTGTCGTCCACCCCGTCCTCACCTGGGGGATGTTGACCATGACGTTGTTATTGGCCACATTGGCCACCCGAATGAGTCCCTGCTGAATGATCCTCTGGCCCTGGACCTGGACGTTGGGCACAGAAGCCCTAGGGGCCAGCAGGAGTGGCGGCGGGCCTGAGCCGCTGTGCTGCTGGCGCAAACTGGCGATCTGCTGCGGGGTGACCGAGATGGGCTGGGGGGGGCAAGCGCAGACACGGCCGGTGAGGGGCGTGGAACGGGCGGGAGGACGGGCAGAAAGAGCCCCACACCGGGTGAGAGCTGGGGCAACATTACAGCGTCCACCAACCTGCGCTCCTCGGACCAGCGGCGGCATGACGATCTGAGAGTTGTGTTTGGACGGGACGTGCTGCCCCCCCCGCACCAGGGGAGGGGGGATCACCGTGCCTGAGCTGCGGCCCGTCACCTGCAAGCACAACATGGCCGACACAGTCAGATGGCGCTACACATTTCCTTCCATTTCACACACACACACACACAAACGCAGCGAGCCTCTGGTCATCCATCCATCCTGTGAGCGCCTCTCTAACGAGGAACAAACAGGAAGTAACTACCTGAAGGGCTCCTTTGCTAGACGTCAGGCTGCCTCTCACCAGAGGGGGGGGAGTCGCCACAGAACTGCTCGCCTGACATCAAGAAAAGGGTTTGTAAATTAGTTATGACCAATTAGTGACTATAGAAAGAGAACTTACAAGAGAACATAGGTCTGCACCAGAGACTCACTTAAAAAAACGGAACTGCCCAATTTTTTTCCCTTCACTGGAGGATAACGGTTTCATGTTTGTGTGTGTGTGTTTCTGTGTGTGTACTGGTTTAGGGGTAATGATGACGTCATGAGATGATCCAGCCAGCCCTTCTCCAACATGGGGCTTTACCTTCTGAACGGTGCTCTCCTTCTGGATCTGGCTCTGTCGCAGCTTTTTGAGGAGCACCAGTTTGGCCTCTTGGAGTCGGAGCTCCTCCTTGAGCTGTTTTATGATCCGCTCCCTCTCTTCTGGGGAACTCTTCTGCGTATATGGAAAAAAGAAAAAGGGGTCAAACCATTTAGGAGGTTTACAGCAATAATACAAGTGGAGCGCTTTGTCTTTTCTCATTTTTAAGCAATCGTCCTTCAATAAACACAAAATTATGGAGGAGAGCAAACATTTTTTTCATACCATCAGCTTGTCTGTGTCGGTCTTGGTGAAGCAGTGGCCATTCATCAGAGGGCTGGATGGCTCATTGTCTGACAACACGATCACGTCATCGGGTGAAGGCGGCTGCCGTTCTTTCTTAATGTCACTGGTGGAAAGGTGAACAAAGAAAACATTTAAAGAAAAACACAGTATCCATTAGATGAAGGATTTGAATGTGGCAGTCCACACCAGTACAACCATACGCAACATGTAGTTTAGTCTTTTGTCCAATAGATGGCGGTACATAACTACACCACCCTGCTTTCATGAGAACATGTGCTGGGACACACAAGAAGGTGAGAATCAAAAGATCAATAACACAGTAATGGCGGCCGGGGAAGAGAACAACAGCCCATTATCTGTGCTTCCAGGCAACGTGGCCTAAAACGGCCAATTCACCTGCATATGAAACGAAAACATCAGCCAATTAACCACAACTTTAATCAGTGTGAATAAAAAAAATTGTAAAAGGTCAGAAGACCTTTGAAAGACTGTTCCGAGGCTTTTCCTGTCGACAAAGATGTCGAGTGGCACCCTGCCTACTCATCAATCTGGAGAGGAGTTGAGATAAAGAAGCCCCCCGAGCAGAAAGGACAGAGAGGACCCCGCTAAGTCTTGGAAATCGTGTTGGTGAGAAAATGTGACACGGGACGAGGTCTGCCAGGAGCGGGAGAGCAGAGTGGATGTTTGCGTCCCAGTGGGGTCTTACACATGCACTCGTGCACTCCAGTTATATAATTGTTCAGCTGATGTCGACCAAGAGGATTCAGGGCTTCACGCTCAGACCAAGTTTACCACCCAGACGGCGGGGCCTCGCCCCTCCCCTACCTCTGTGGCGAGGCCTCAGGCCTAGCCAGACCGGCACAGCCTGGGCCTCGGCTCTGCCCTCCCTCCCGGATCCTGACATCAGAGTCACAAGCGGAGGGGAGCAGCGGTCGGCTGGAGACACTGGCGAGGGTGACAGTGAGGGGGGAGGGGAATAGATGGCCAGAAGCCAACCTATTGTGTACACTCACTCTCACTCAGTCACCACTTCACCCACCCCTCCCCCATCCTTACTCCTTCATCTTTTATACTCCGACTCGCTGACTCGGTTCTGCATTTTTTCCTCTTTCTTGTGCGCACCCCTGTCTCTTCTCTGCCATCTCCTTTTTTTTCTCCCCGGAACAGCTGTCTCTCCGCCTCTCTCTCTTTATAGGCAGTAAGCTCAGTTCAGTAAGGTCAGCTTCATCGCAACGTTTCAAGTACGAGTTTCACAGTCTAGACCAGGCGATCCCAAACAGGCCTCTATGAGTAAGACCTTTTTTTCGCCTGTTTTCACAAACACAGTTAAGCCCTGGAAATGCTTTAAACTTCACAGATATGAGAACCTGTCAAAGGTCATTGTCCTCAAGCAAAGCTGTTTGCCTTCTGTTTACCGTCGGCAAATGCATTGCAATAAAACAAGAGTGGCTCAAAGAGAGCAAGAGACACGGCAAGTGGCACTATCGAGTTTTCAGGTGCTTCATAACCTCTCTGGCAGAGGCTTGATGGAAACCCGGCATCTCAGCTGACTCGCTTGTGGTGGCTGCTGAAAACTATTGAGAACAGCTTACACAAGCATCTCGACGCACACCAGCTTGGTTATGTAAGGTCCAGTGTTTGTGCCTGGCTCGGCTTCCGCCATCGCAGCTTCGGGCTCGACCCACTATAGGACTGCTGATTCAGTGGTCAGGAGGAGCTGTGCCGTCCGGTGCAACGCAATACGCTCAAGAGCCAATTTCAGCTCTGCAGGGCTCTTTAAGGTAATGAAATGGCTCCGCTATAAACAGACGGCGGGACTGGCCAGAGGAGGATTTGTTCGGAAATCGACATGTTGCTGTAATGTATACAAAGCCTCGAACAGCCCGCAAACTGCCCAACAGACAAAGACAGACGGTCATCTCACAGACTCGGTCAGTTCGGTTGGAGCAGTGGGACGGTTTTCAGCCATTCATTGACTGACGAGCCTGGTCTTCAAAGGGCTTTTCCCTGACATAAACAATCGGATGATCACACAAACTCAGGCGGAGGGTTCAGGCAGGGCCAAAGGTGACACTTATGTGTAATTATGATGCACCGCAGACAAAGCAAACACACCGGCTGCTGAATCGCCCCTCTGTTCCACTTTAACTGCAATCACATCAGTGTGTGTGTTTATCGCTCTACCAAACACACGTCACATGACATCAGGCATTTCTCTGTGGTCATGTGACACGCCCACCACCCTTCCCGGCCCCTCCTTCCTCCAAGGGCTCCTTCCAGCGTGGAAACCATGGCAACGGCCAGTTGGAACCAGTTTGTGACACATAGCCTTCATTTTGTGTGAAGTGTGAGGCAGAGTTCAGGTGCTGCTGTGGGAGAAAATGGAGCCCGGGCCTCGGGAGCCTCAAAGTTTTCAGAACGGGGGCAGGCTGCCGACAGCCGCTCACCGACTTCCTGTGCGACTCCCGTCAGTCAGCCCAGTAACTAGTGCAGGTTTAGAGAGGAACCTGAAACTCCAATTGATGCAGCGCTGTGCCAACCATCCAAAAACAATGCTGTGACTTCATGTTTACGCGGATCTATAAGGAGCTTCAGTCATTTAATCCATGGATGAACCCCAGTAAAACATTCAGACAGAAAGACATGAGAAAGTCTGTTTAGCGTCACAGACTTGTACACAAACTAGCCTGTCAGCACATCATAACTGAGTATTTTGTGCAGGTGGGAACAGACAGTGCAGATTGTGAGTGTAGGAGAAGTGTTTCAGTGTTGATCAGAGATTTAAACCAAACATTTCTGTATGTTCTTCAAAAAGCATGTTGATAAACCACTGCTGACACACCAGTTCAGTCCATGTGTGACCAAACTGAAACATGTGCTCATCCTCATCTCACCTTTTGGATGTACTCATGTCTACAGGTTCGTCTCCGGTCTGCACCTCCACCTTGATGGTGGCCTTCACTTCTCCAGTCTTTAGGATGCTGGCAGCCTGCTCACTCTTCAGCTTGACGCCCTCGGCTCCGGGTCCCAACAGGGCTAACGGGGCCCCAGGCGCATCGCTTTCCAGCTTCACCCGTTTACTGTCCATGTCCTCCAGGGGCTCGGGAGGACTTGTAGGGTCTTTCTCCAGAGCCCGCTTCTGGCTGCGTGTCTGACGTACGGCCTCCTCTGACATGGCTGCTCTCACCCTGGAGATCGGGACACATCAAGCCGTTAGATTTTACGAGGAAGCAATGAGGCTTTGACTCTGAAAACTTCCACATCAGGCAGCGTGGTACAGGCAAAAGTAAAGCACAGCTTCTGTACCAGTAACGACAGAGAAAGTACAGAACACAGTACAGATTTAGTAAGAAAAGAAACAAGTCACCTTGGGTTAAGGTTAGGGTTGTCACGATACTAAAATTTTCAACTCGATACCGATACTCAGGAAAATACTCGATACTCGATACCATTTTCGATACCAAAAAGATAAAAACAAAGAACCTAAAATTTAACTGAATTGTGTCTTTCATTTCAAACTGACCTGTTACTGATGTTATTGTGACTGGTGGCCCACATTAATGACCCTAACCCTAACCCTATCCCTCCAGCCTTCATAATAGTGAGAAATAAATATTTTTTGGTTAAACTTGTTTGGACTTATTGTACAAACCCATTTAACATCCACTATTTTAACATAATATTATGGATAAAGTTTAATTCAGTGTTTGCTAGATTACTTTCACTATTATTAAATTAATGTCTATATTGCCATGAAGCCATTAGGATTTTCTTGCCTGGGATCTTTCTATTGGGGACCTAATCAAAACGTCCGATTTGGATGTGGGCGGAGTTAGATATTATAATTGATTAATGTTGGCGTGTTATTATTAGCCATTAGCCGCAGCTAGCAAGGCTAACGTTTTGTTAATGATCATAAACAACGTAAATAAATACATAAATAAATCAGATAGAAGGGGCGCAGCGGCGGCAGGTCAGCGTCGCACGCGCGCACTCGCGCGGGCTCGCGCGGTGGTATCGATACTTTTGAAAATGAGTATCGTATCCGGATACAACATTTTAGTATCGATACTTTTTCGAGTATCGATACTTTTGACAACCCTAGTTAAGGTACCGTAACCATGGAATAATCAACGGGGGAAAACTAGTCAGTAAAATTATGTTGACCACGGTGGGTCAGAAGGATCTAAACCCAATCACCTAATCTGATTCTTATATCAAAAGGCTCTCTAGCAATCCAAAGGCATGTGGTGACATTAAGTGCTTGTAATCCCATTTTATTTTAGAGGTTAGATAAAAACAAATTACGCAACTAAATCCTGGGTTCGAATTATGCAAAACATGAAGCTGCAGAAGAATAGAAAAACATTTTAAAGGCATTAACTCATCTCTTGACTGTTACACAAGCCCCTTAATCTTGGGAGAATCGTGCAAGACTTATATGGGCAGAAGCTAAAGGCAAAGAGATGTACTCATGAGAAAAATGTAACACTAACAATGTTCTGCTCACACTTGAAAACGAAACACAGTTTTCTTCTGACAATACATTACTCCTTATTCAGTCAGCTGGCAAATGGCTGCAGTTACCGATGGATACGTGGACATGACGGAGGCACGCAGACATTTCCAGTCCAACTACCTGTTCCTCAGAAGCCGGCCCAACCCATCTCAATTAGTAAAGTAACATCAAGCTGACAGAACTATTTGGATGAAGTTGCTCAAGACTACCATTCAAACTATATCCGCCCAGCAGCTCATGTGCTCTGCATGGATCTGACACCAGAATGCTACACATGTTAATTCAATTGCATTGTAAATATTGCAAATATGCGCTCCATCGCAGCCCATCGACACATCTTCAAGAATTGGATAGGTGAACGACAACCCTGTAAAACCAGTTGGAACTGGTCTACTATGGAGAGAAGCAAGGCGGCGTACAGAGCAGGAAGAGCAGCAGCAGACATGACCGCCACATGGAACATGACGGGAAGACAAAAGGACGTCATCATCTGCAAGACTCAACCCATCTCCGCTCAGGCTGTTTTTTTCATTGTGAAATATTTTCTACTATATCCAAAAAGACAATGTTTTTGAGCCTATTATTTAACTAAGTAATGCAATGTATACAAAATACACTGATAAATAAAGTTAGAGGCAGGTATTTCCAAGTGTTTATCTTCTAAAAGTTGAAGTTTGTTCATTCTGCTATAGTTTTTCTTCCCCCCATGGTCGTGAACCGGACACGGTAGCACTACCCGGCCCTCAGATGTTTAACAGTTGCATGTACCTAGATGTTTGTAACGACATCCAAAATGAAGCGACTTTCATGCAGAAAATGTTCAGAACAGATATTAGAGGCTAAAATGTTCCCTGCTGCAGTGCACAGCAAGGGCAGATGTGCCCTGCTGTACCATCCCTGGGCACAAAGCCCATCTATCTTCCAGTGGTGACAGCTCTGGTGTGCGTTTTGCAGTGTTTCAGAAGTTGTACTTAACCCAGCAGAATTGTAATAGTGGCTGCACAGTGTTGGTTCTGCAAGCCTGTAGTGGTGAACCAACCTCTAACAGATAGAAATGACTCATCCAGCCAGGGCACAACGTTACCACCACCGCAGGGGCGGCTAGTTCAAGGCACGGAGACACACGGCTATCTTTGTCCCACAGGCTGTAGGCACCATTTTGAATCTAGAGCATACTATTGAGAGGTTTCACATCACGCTTCCTCTGGCCAAATCCAAATTGAAAGACCACAAGGGTGGTCTAAATCGGCAAGTCCGACAGTCCGGTGACGAGACGGGAACAGACGGGTCACAGCGGGTGTAAAACGGCTCCACGAGCCTCTTCCGCGGCACATTTTCTGTTCAGCTTGGAAAAGTCTCATTCAGAAGTGGTGTCAGATAACCAGACAGGTGTTGGGTTAGGGCTGGTGAAATCTAAAAAAAAAAAAAATCCATTAACGCGTGTGTGTTGGTGAGTTTCAACACTCTACAAAAATCAAACTACAACGAGAAACAGACTGCAAGTGACAAACAAAAACACCACGCCGGGAGGCTCGGCTGGTCCGTCGGCAAGTTCATGAGACCCCAGGAGAGCAGCGGCACCCAAACATCCCTTCAGGGACTCTGCAACCAAGGGTAGCAGCTCTGTTCAAGGGCGCGTTTGACAGGGCTGCGACCTACCAAAACTCCCGTTGCTCATCCAACATTCACTATTCACAGCAGTTTCACTTTTCAAATGAACGTGGGTTACATGCTGCGTTTTGATTCAAGCTCACCCCACAGCCCTGCTTCACCGACAGACAAACAGCCCCTCCCCCCCAACAAATGGAATCAATACATGATCACGCACACAGAAAACCTCTCTCCATCACACTGCTGGCCAACTAGATTTAGTGACTTCAAAGACCTTTTAGGATGATTTTCCCTCTTCAGATCGAAACCTATACCAATAAAAACATTGACATTTGAAGCAAACCTAAATATTTGATTAATCCTTTAATATTTGTGCTGGACAGTTCTTCTTTGGCCCTTTATACCTGAAGAATGGGCCAGTGGAGGTGAAGACTCGTGGCATAAATGATGATACGAGTACTGAAAACAATGAGCCAGATAACAGCTGGAACGTGAGAGAGAAGAAATGTGAAGAATTCTGCTTCTTATCTAATAACAAGAAAAATAACTGTATGCAATAAGCTCAAGCAAAAGTACCCAAAAGCTGCCGAATTAGAGAACCGCCTTCAGGTTTAATACATTTCCATCCAGATCTCTGCTTTCAACTCGAGGCTAGAATCAATCCAGCCTCAACTGTGGCACCTTACTTTTGTTTAGGCGTCTTCCTTTCAATCCATGTACCAGTTTGGGAGTTACAGCTCTCTGTACTAATGCTGCTATTTAAACTACACATGCACGTTATTCAAACCACGGCTCCAGACTCAAAACTCTCTTTCTGGAGCTTGTTTTCCTTCATAAACCATTTTTGAGACAGTCAGCCAGCCATTGGTGGATCTCGCACACTAAATAAATCATACATTTATGAAATTTTAATTCTCTCTCCCTCCTTATGAACAATAATTAACAGGCAGACATGAGCAGGCTGATCGCTGCTGGGTACGATTGTGCATTTCAATCCCATTAAATTGAAGTAGAGACACTGACAAAACTACTGATGTTCTGGTAGAGATACTGCTATCAAATTCCAATTGTACATCTCCAATATTACCAAAGTCCATCGAATGAGGACTCATCTCCCCACAACAAACAAACCCACTACTGAACACAGGGAGGAAATGGAATAAAGAATGAACACAGGGATAGAGGCGGACGAGCCTCTGTCTATTTATCTGTGACCGACGTACTCAGTCTGGAGAAATGGAAGGCGCATGGCTCTTTTCTTTCGTTTTAACCAGAAAAAGAAGACTTCAGGGCAGAGCAGATCAGTCAGAACAAAAAGGACATGGTTGGCTGAGAATGGAAAAAAAACAACAACTATCTGCTGAATAAAACTGACTCATACAAATATGAGAGCGTGTGGCGAGCCGCTCCTTAAAACAACAGCTTTGCTCAAATCAAAGCATCCTAATTTCGGCGTCAGGCTTGTACAGTCTACATAAATTATCTACAGTCCGAAATGTGTGGGGCATCAGGATGAGGTGCACTCACTTGAAAGCAAATGGAGAGCAATCGGTGACCTGCCTTGACACCCGGGGTTTCACTCTGTCGCGCTCCCATTGTGTCCAGAAGCTCACAAAGACCGGATCAATAGCAGAGGCTCATACCCTCAGGTAGCCTACTCGCCTCTCATCTCGAGCACTGTAATCATCTCCCCTCTGGGATGGGACACAGCCAGCTAACACATTAACAGCCGGTAAAAAAAAAAAAAAATCCTCCACCGAGTCCGTAGGGCTCTATACAGGGTGAAAGAACAACTTCACTGTCCAATGAAGGCGATGCGAGTATGGATTATTGGTCAACAACAGCCAAACCGAGCGGCAGCTGATCTTTGGGGAGCTGAGGCTCCTGGTATATTGATTTTAATTCCTCGCTCCGTCATTTGTCTTACTTGCAATGTTTGGCAATGAGATGGTCTTCACTTCGAAGCAATTACGCTGAAGGCATGGCGTCGCCGCTTTTGTGTCAACTCTAACATTTACGGTGGTTTTCAGGCAGTCCAAGACATTTGCCTCTTTAAGTTATCAT